TTTTTTTTTTGCTGGATTTCTTGTTGGTAGAAGTGGAACAAAATTCTCTCAGGAAGGCAAACCCCAGAGCCATGGATCTGTTTTCCAGCCTCCATCTCTGGAGAGTTCTGGAGAGCTGCAGTTTTTAACTCTAATGGAATGAAAAAAAAGAGCAAACTGTGCTGGCATGCAGCGCTACAGCCCAACTGCTCCCACCAGCTCAAGGCCTTTGAGCTACTTTTTATTAAGGAGCCCCATGGCCCTTGCAGCACATGCCTATCAAAAGTGCCTGCTGCTCTTCAGACACATGCAGTTTTTCTTTCTTTAGAACAGTGATGTGTCCACATGGGTGGACATCAGTGTAGATGTAACCCGCAAGAGGAGTTGATGGATGTAAATTGCTTCTAAATGGTTACGGTAAATATGCTAATTTTTAAATATCGCCTCTTTTAAAAATCCCACCTGGAGTCCTGGTCTATTTTAAATGCTAAGGAATGAAATGGAAGTTCTGTCCCTGCAGATGGACTTGATTACTCATGTATTCTGTGCAGAAAAAAAAATCCCAAACCTCCCAGTGAGGAACCCGCGTGCACTGGGAATTATCACGGAATGACCATGGAATGCAAGGCAATGATACAGAATTGAACTCCTTCAAAATTTGGGGACATTTGGATCTCAACTCAACCTCTTCTCCCCTCAAATATTTTAAATCACCTCTTACTCCTCAACTGTGTTGGATTTAATGACTGTAAATAGCCTTTGCCCATCTGAAATCTCTCCAGTGTAGGGGAAGCGTTTACATTCCTTTACCAGAGCCCAGATTTTAATTTACATCTATTCTTATGGCCTGGTTTGTATGAGTTGGGATGGCTTTGCTCGTGTAGGGTTTTTTTTGCGTGTTTTTGTTGCTTGTTTGTTTGTTTGTTTGTTTTAACCTGCATCAAAGTGCCCTGTGTTCACCTCCAAGGGTGCACCGCGATTCACTAAAGGTGGATGTGCCAGACAAAGGGGTTTCTGCCCTGAAGCATCAGCTCTAAAGAGGCATGAGCAGTTGCACAGAACAATTGCAGCACGGCCAGTAGGCACTGCATCTGGAGTGCTTCGTGGAGCAGATGTGGTTTTCAGGTTTCTTTTTTTTTTTCTTTATTTGGATGAGGTTTTCTGTTTTTATTAAAAAAAGAGAGGAGGACAAAATCGAGGCGCTGGTTTGCCCTATGTGTTTAAACTCTGTAAGCAGAGATTAAATGGGAGGCAGCAGTGGGTGAAGAACGTGAAGTAAAATGTAAAGGATTAGAAAGACACAAGTAGATTAGAAAAAGAAAAGGCTGAGTATGGAAGAGGAAATATAGGGTCGAATCTTTGATCTTTGGCTGCCTTTTTTTTTTTGGATATATAGTTGTGTTTTGTGTATTGTGTGTAAGAGTTGGCTACATGAGGTATGAGAAATAATGAGTGGCAAAACAAACTGTCCTTTCTCAGCCAGAATGAGAGCAGGGGTGAATAGTGCCAGAAGAAAGTCAATAAGTGTATGGAGGAGTGAGAAGAGAGGGGTGCAAAATATTTAGCTTGGAAGTCGATTGATGTATTAGAGGCATGAACATAAAGCCATCTGATAGTGAATGTTCTTGGTTTCAGGTTGTTCTGATATCAGGATATACTGAAGTGTGAGAAGATGGTGCTGTTACTCTCTTAGCTGTTACATAAATGTGTTGCTAAACCTTTTGTATATACTATAGAGGATTTTCATCAGCTTAACTGTACCAGTTACGTAGCTGAGACCTGTGATTGTTTCTCCATAAACTACTAAAAGTGTGTTGCCAAAGTTTACTACATCATTCTCTTTTTTCTCTTTTAGTTTAATATAGAATTGTGTTGATGTTAATTAGAACAACGAGACTTTTACAATGATTTCTGGGACCAGTGCACAGAAACACGACTAGTTTGTGAAATCAAGGACTGTAATTGATAGCATACATGCTCCCTGTGCTTACTTCTTACCAATCCAAGTGAGAGGAGGGTTAGTGATCAAAACGTGAACAGTGCTGTCCATCACAGCTACTTTGACACTATTACCAAGCATTACCTGATCAGGTGCGTGTGTGTCCCCATGGGGATTAGCATGTATATTTATTTACATGGGGGATTTCAAAGTAATACAGGATATCTATCTCACACTTGGGTGTTAGGTTACACCTCACTGACAGGATTTGAAGGATGCTAAAGCAGCGGATTGAATCCACAAGGAGACTGAAGTGGTCCATTCATGAAGTGCTGCTTTGGCAGAGGAGGTTCCCTCTGCTCTTGCTTCTGCTCTGCTGCTTTTGACTAGCAGTTGTGTGGCAAAAAGGATGCTGTGACTGTCAGTAAGCCAGAACAATCTGTGATCCAAAGAACTCCCCTCATTTTTTTTTTCCTAACCTGAATCATTTTAGAGGTGGGTTTGTGCTGTGACCCCACAGACAGCCGTACTGGCAGCACTTTAAGGAGCAACAGCTCTGGACACACAGGAACAAGCTCTTGCTTTGCTTGCCATGGCAGTGTACCATGAAATGGTATTTTGATGGTGTGACACCTCTGTTAGAATTTCTGCAGTAGATGCAGTGTAAGCAGTTCTTCCCTCTTTTTACTTTTCAGCTTTTTTTCTCCTATTACACCTGCCAGGGGTAAGATTTGCTTTGTGCCTGCTCAGATGTCTGTGCCCACAGTCTAAGCAGGATCTATGAAATTGTTTGGTTTAAAAACGACACAGAAAGGCACTCAGCAAAATCTTTTGCATGTGTTGTACTCTTTCTTATGACAGATCTTGCTGAGGTATGGCCATAAGCACTTGAATTATCATTGTCTATATGTGGAACTTTATTCATCCACAGCTCATACAGAAACATCCAGGGTAGTTTGAGTATTCCTAGAAGGATATCTGTGGCATATGGCACTCAATTCACACAGACCAGACAGTGCTTACACAAGATTTAGGAATTAAGGTTGAAACGAGTGCCTTTTGGGTTGAAACGAGTGCCTTTTGGCCATGGAACAATTCTGGTTTTCATACTTAGCACTTATGTCTCAAGTGCTACGAGGACACACATTAAAAAACAGAGGATTTCCTACATCTTGCAAGAGGATTTCTCAACATATTTGCTTTTAACTGGCTGGAGGTGACGTAAAGGAAAACACAACACTGTTGTAAAAGACACTTCCTTAATTATTGCACAAAATTTTGTGCCTAAAGATAACTTTTTTAATTTTAAAAGGTACAGGGGTGTAGCAAAGTTAAATGTGTTGATGAATGTTGTTTCTCTTTTATTATGCATGAATATTAAATTGTCCAGGAAGCAAAACCTAGCTAGTATGGCAGGTTATTTTCATGCGTCATCTTGTGATGGAACACCACTGCACACCCAACTGCTCTGTGTATATATTTGTGTTTAAAAAGCCAAGTGTGCTTAAGAACCTTAGTGACTCTGCACAGCACAATTTAAAATGGTATAATGCAGATACTTTTATCCTCAGAGGCCTCTCTGTGCCCAGGGGCAGGGTTGGGGCCTTAAATGAACTAATGAGAGTGATCTTGACCTGGAAATTGATTTTTTTACTACTTTTTTAATTTTTATTTTTATTTTTAGCTAATAAATGTGAAGCCCCAAAATATGGAATGAAAATAACATTCTCTTGACCTGGATCTCTTTTGAAATGACAAATGACAAGAAATTGAGGAGTAAGTGAAAGAAGTTCATCAAAATTTGTTCATCAAAGTTGTCAGTTTGTTCAGACCACATATTTAATCCTTCTGTGGAAGTGTTATCTAGAAATCACTTTTGACACATACTGTTTTTTTTTGTTACTGCTCAGTTTAAAATCTTACAAATGGAAACCTTGAAGACACAGTAAACTCATCACTTAATATTTGTCCTCTACTGAATTGCTTTCCACCAACGGTATTCTGGTTTACTTGGGATTAATTTTACCTCATGTAAGCTTAAAATGTTTAAAATTATTTCAGAACTTTTCTTTGTAGAGCTGAAAGAAGACCTTGCAAAGAAAATGATTTAATGCACTGTGTTGATGCAATAACAAGTTAGTGTCACTTCTGTTGACATCACTGATGGTGCTGAATCCCAGACTAGGACAAAAGTCTAGAGACTTTTTGGCAGAAACAATGAAAAACAGTAGTTGTGATAGGAAAAAATCTGCTGGACAGATTAAAATTGTTAAAATTGGTAAGAGGCTGTTAGATTCATAAGAGAATAAAAATAATAGAAAATAATTGACTACAGGAATACAAGTAGATAGCACTCACTATACTTCATTTTGCTATATCTGTGGAATGACTCATTTGTCCAGGAGTTTAAACAGAGTGAATAGAAAATAAGGAAAGAGGTGTGGAGAAAATTAGGCTCTTAATGATTTCTCTCGAATTGATTGTATGGCAGCCTACTCAGTTCTTAGTCTGATCTTTCCAAAGGGCTTGTTATTCTGAGCATCTCATCAATGGTAGCTGTTTGTTTTACAGCACAGGTATCTGTTGCTGTTTTTCTACGTATCTTTACCCAGGGGAGTGTAAGATATTGTATGTTGTATTATCTTCCCAAAGAAGTTTGGAGCAAATAGATTGACATGAATTATTTTGAAGAAATCCGTTATCATTTGCTGAACCTGCTTGAAAGAAAGGGCTAGATTTGTACAGAAGCTTTTAAATAAAAATTGAAAGTGCTCATCAATTTCCAAAAGGTGTTCATTTCCTCTGCTGACCAAGTACCTGTAAGAGATGTTACAATTCTTTTAATAATGGTACTAAGACGCCTGAGCATGCTCCCTGACATTCTCTCAAGTATAATATTTTAAACGTATCATTTTATTTATTTATCTATTTTTAAATACATCACCTTACAGGATCTCTGCTTCTTTTATTTGCTTGTTTGCTTTCAACAGCCCTGTACACTATGAGGTGATATCCTAGATGCCTGTTTTATTTTGAGGGGGGTCTGGGGGAGCAGGCTCATAAAAGATTATTTTTCTCAACAGAAATATCACAGCTGGCTGAACACACTGCAAGGTCTGAGCTAACCAGAACTGCCTAAGCAGCATGTAGGCTCTGCACTGCAGATGCCAAGGGTCAGCACTAGGTAAGGTGTGCTACGAAAATATCCTGTGTTCTCTGTATAGCTGTAATGATGGTTGGCCTGGGAAAGAGAATTATGTTTTGTTTACATCAGTGTCTTAAGGTTAATTTTTCTGTTTCTTTCCTAAAGCAGCAGGATGATTTCTTTCTTGCCTGTTCGAAGATGGGGGGGGGAAGTTACATTTTCAGGAAAAAAAGAGCCAAATTATGTTGGAGAACATATACTGTCTTTTAAGCTCATCTTAATTTCAGTTTTCTGACTTTATTTCTTTATGAAAACCAATGCTAATACATGTTTGGCCCAATAACCCTTAATGGGTTTCTGCATCATGATTAGGGCACATTTATCAATTTTTATTACTTGTGTTGCATGCCATCTCTTGTCTAGTTTGTTGGGGTTTTTTTTGATCCTTTCAAATGAAAAAGTCCCAGATGTCAGAAGGTTTTTATTTTTAAATGGATTGGTATCAGTCAGATCCAAAGCTTTGGCTTTTTTGGATGCAAACATGAAAATATTCCTGTGAGGAGAGACTAAAAACTAAAGGCACAAAGAGTTTGCTGAGATGGAGTGTCAGGCAGGAGCCCAGAGGCTCTTTTTATACACATGCATGGCCAGACCATGATCATAGAATCACAGAATATGCTGAGTTGGAAGGCATTCATCAGGATCACTGCGTCCAACTCCTGGCCCTGCACAGGACACCCCAGGAGTCACACCCTGTGCCTGAGAGCATCATCCAAACGCTTCTTGGATGCTGTCAGGCTCGGTGCTGTGACCACTGCCCTGGGGAGCCTGTTCCAGTGTTCAACCACTCTTTTCCTGATATCCAACCTAAACTTCTCCTCACACAGCTCCAGCTGTTTCCTCGAGTCTTGTCCTTGGTCACGAGAGTGAAGAAATCGGTACCTGCCCCTCCTCTTCCCCTCACAAGGTTGTTGAAGACCACAATGAGGTCTCCCTTCAATCTTCTCTCCTCCAGGCTGAACAGACCAACGGGATCCCTGGCATCCTTAAAAAGTTGGTGAGTAAAATGCATTCCCAAGCCATCAGGCTTCATTTTCTTCCTGTTTGTCAGAGGAATTAGCCTGTCTCATTTCTGCCGTCCTTTGCCACTGATGCAATTTTTTTAAGCTGTAGTGACCTTGTCAGGACCTTCCCTGCCCAAAATGGTTTTGCCTGGGTATGTACAGGAAATTACAATGCTGACCAGATCAGAGGAGCACAAGAGTGAGTGTGATGCAGAAAGTTCATGGTTAGGTTCAGCACCTCTGAGGGTCGACCAGCTACACTACTGGAACTGTTTGGTGTCTCATCCAGTGGCTTCTTCAAAATACACAGGAGGGCTCTTACATCCATCACTACTCTTGGAGCAGGCCTTTGCATCTGGATCCAAAATGGCTTAGGAAGGAGCAGAGCCTCTGTGTTGCCTGGCTTTGATAAGATCAAAGAGCATCCTTGGGATGCTCAGGCACCAGGGAGCTGTGGATGCCTCGGGGTTGGGTGGCAGCTGCTATGGAACTTTTGAGGTAGTAATTTTGGGCTTAGCTGCAATTTTGCCTGAACGTCTTACTGGAGCCAGTCCTGAATTCTGTAGTGTGCTGTCAGTTTAAATGTGTTTTTAAATTAGATTTAAATAATATATCAATAATTCACCTTTCCAGTTAGAGCCCTTTCTTAAAAATGAAGATTCCTAACCTTTCGTGCTGACTCTAGCTTGCTCTTAAAGCAGAAGGATATATATGAAATTCCAATCATTTTGACATATGTAAGGGGTTAAGTCATTCTTGAACAGTTTATCGCTCATCAATTGTAATTAAATATGTTTATATTAAATTACGTTCTGTAATTAATGTAAAATCTTTTAGCCTGTGCTGTTATTAGAACCAGATGCTGAAGTATCAACAATATTTCAACATGACTGTGCTGCCTTGCCAGCTGTCTAACTGTAATTACTTTAATCTCAGCTTGTTATCTAATTATCACCTTTGTAAAGGGAAAAGTACTCTCTAATGCGTACTGATTGTTTCAGATGATGATGAAGAGCGTGAAACAGCTGTCAGATATCTTAGCCCTGCTTATCTGGATTAGAAAACTTATTGGGAGGCCTATTTTGCTTCAAACCTTCCTGACAGAAAACGGGACAATCGGAAAGAGGGGTGTTTTTTTCACCTTGTTTACCCTAGAAACGTGATTCCAATAATCACTGGAGACAACGGATGAAACAAGGTAAACAATTACTGTTCCCAGGAAAAAAAAAAAGACAAACAGCAAGGCCATGATACAGCACAAAGTGTGAATGATGTATGAATTTTGTAGTGGACTGTACATTTGTCTAGTTTTTTAAACTTCTGCTTTCATTGCAATGCTGGATAATTACTGTAATTTAGTTACATGGGTTGTGCTGAAATGTGGTGACAAAGTTTACCGTGTAGTTACTCAATTACTATGTAGTTAATTAGTTTTATATAACACACCTCTATAGATAACATCTTCCTGGAGAATCTTGAGTGCTTTCAGCACTGAACAAATGTATGATTTGCAGTTCTCTTTGGGTATCTTGTTCAGAACAATGCTGGAGTAATTTTATAGAGTACTTTAATACTGTACAGTGTTTAAGTACAAACCATAAATAAAATTCGGTAGGGGGAAAAAAAAAAGGGTAGAATGCTAAAGTAAAATTTTCAGTAGATTACTTGATTAGTAAAAGTTATGTAAGGGTGATTTTTGCCTAAAATTCAACTGGTTTTATTTTCCCCTTCCCTTCTGTTCATCTCCCACCTCCAAACAGTGCCGACAGTGATGCTAGTTCAAAAATTTTCCTGAAACAGTTGAAGTATTTTTATTTGGTGGCAGTAATATAGTGGGTAAGAAATAAAGCAATTTTATAACAATGTCTTCATAGCATTTGTAGCTTTTAAAGGGGAGCTTTAGTAAGGCTTCTTGTGATTGAAGTGTATCATTGTTAATGCTGGCGTGGTTTGAATATTGCTGAAATACGTGAAAGTAGATGTGTCTTCTCTTTCCCTGACATTCCATACTATACCATAGCAATTTGTCACTCTATTAGCTGTACTAAGAATAAGGATTTTATTTTTTTTAAGGATTTTTTTTTTTTTTTTTTAAGGAGAGGGGAGGTGTTTTTTGTGTGCTCTTTCTCAGTTTGATATCAGGGCATAACTTACTAGTAACACAAAAAAAGATAACTTTGTGCTATTTATTTAAAATGCTTTGAGTGCCTTTTCAGGGACAAGGGACAAGCTCCAGGGAGGCAGTGAACCATCATTTGAGAGCTGCTGAGTACCTTCAGCTTTTAGGAAGGGAACTGAGGAACTTTTTTGAACTTGTGTACAGGGGCTATTGAAGTACCCAGGTTTCAAGATGTGCTTTATTAGCCAAATGTTTGAATAACTCTGCTTTCCTTTTTCCAGCTCAGATTTTCCTTGTAGCTCTAGCTTGACTTGTACACAAAGCATGGTTCAGTCCAGCAGAAAGTTGTTTGAATAAAAATAGATAATGTGGTCCTCTCTTACTTGTCCCTTATCTTTCTAGAAAAATACCCGATTTTCAGGTCACCACAGAGTTGCTCCATCTTTTTATTTCTCTTAAAAGCATAAGAAATTCAGTTCTGGGTTTCAGCAGGGTTTTGAAAGGGTTCAGAAAAGAAGGAAGGCAACAGAGTTGTGCTGAAAGGCTCTCAGCTGGAGGAGAGGAACTTGTTGCTAAAACTTCAGGGCAGTTGTTTGTGTTGTGCATGTAAAATGATGAGCCTGTGCAACAGAGTAGACATGCATCTTCCTGCAGATACAATTTCTGTGCTGTGTATGTTAGCATTAAATGCTCAAATTAAGTGTACTCCTTAACACTTAACTTTTTTGAGAATCAAATCCTTAAATTAGAAGTGTGTCTATAACACTTCACGAGGATGTCAGATTCTAAAGGAGAGTTAGTGAGACTTTAGCAGTGAAAACTCATCCAAAGTACAGATGAATCCTGGGTTGTGTAGACTTGATGGCAGATACAGAACTGGAACAGAATCCAGTACTATTCATTGTCAGTTCTATTAAATACACAAATATAATAATGTAATTGCTTTTGGTTTTCCCTTCTAAGCTTTCAGCATTTAACGTAAAATTCATTTACGTTACAAAGTATTCTATGTTTTGGGCAATCACTTAATGTAAGATTATTTGCAAGTGTTGCAAGCAGTTAATTTTTATTTCCTTTGACCAAGAATAATATTTTGTCAAATCTTAAGACAGCCAACTGATGAAGATGCTGTAAAATAATATATTATTTTAAAACAACTCTTGATTGACACTGTCTTCTTCTGCAAATCTGTTTAAAAATAAGTTGGTGATATGCAAAAAGTAGAAATCGGCCCTTTGTCATCTCTAATATATAAACCCTTTCGTTCTTGTGTGGGGACTCCATATTGGCCCATTGAACTATAATGGTTTATTCCTTTTTTAAGGTCAATGAACCATGAACTGCAGAGTCTCCTAAATAGGCCTTGACCAGGCTGCTACTTTTGTAAAAAGGCCACTACCATATTACAGGTTAGTGACTTTCTAACTACAAATTCCCACGGAAATAGCTGCAAATGCAAGGCTTTGTGAAAAAATAAAAATAATAATAATTAAAAAAAAACCAAACCAAACAAACCAACCAAAAAAAAACCCCAAAACAAATGACTATTACTGAAAAATCTAAGGTGAGAGACTGAGTGAAATAAAGATGGAGGTGGGCTCTTATGCTGAATTTATCCCTCCTACCAATGGGTTTAAATTATGGATGTACACAGAATCGTGATCCTCACACTGATTTTTCATGTAGCTGTTCTTTAAAGGACCTTATTTAGCTGTAGTATCTGGCAGTTCATTGGGGCTTGCTATTTAAAAGTGACATAACTGTCTTTAAAAGGTGCTAATTGCAGAATAATTTCTTGAAAATAATTTTCCCTGTATGAACTCTATTGTTTTAAGTGTTGAGGTATAAAATACTATACTATATATCATTATAGATTATATATCACTATAGATTATATATTTTCTTCCATGCTCAAGCATAAATTTTGAGGTTTGTGTTGTGGGTTTTTTCCATAAAATAAGTGTACTTGTTTTGATTAAATTATGCTTTGTTATGCTGAAATAGGAAAAAAAATCAGTAGATTTGTGTATATACATATATATATATATACATGCTAAATGGGCATATATAGACACACAATATATATATTTGATAGATACAATATATATATTTGACACTGTGTATTGATTATTTGTGTGTAACTATAGAGAAGTGAGTGAAATTGTGATGTTTTTGAAGTTAGTGTGAACTCTGACTTCACTGTGTACAGGATTTCACTCTGCCTGTCTGGAAAAGAAGGACTTTGAGCCATGTTTTCAGTCCCTTGTTTGAGGTGTTTATGTTAGCCTGGGGCAAAGAAGCCTGAAAGCTCATATAACTTATTTGCAGTCTTTAAATCAAATATTGGAGCACTGAAAACAAATTACATGACAAAGCAAAGCGTTCTCCTCGGTTTGTGGGGCCTTTTCTATTTCTATTAGCTCTTAGGATTAAAGGCTAAGCTGCTGAGGTTGAAGAGGTTTACTAACCACTAGGAAATAATTTCAAAGGTCTAGGGGTGAGGGCTTCTGGTGTTCAAGAGTATCATCCTTGGAAAAGGCAAGGATCAACAGAGGAATGTGCAACCGCAGGGACAGCGCTGCAGGTATGATGAGGAAGGTCTCAGTTACAGCAGCCAGACTCAGTCCCCACTGAACTGAAGGAAAGAGGCTTTTGCTGCACTCAGAGGGCTGGATTGGTCTGAGCCAGGACAGAATTGTACAGGTGTGGGGAAGGAATATGCCAGAGCTGTGCTGGTATGTAAGAGTCAGTGAAGACACAGAGGGCTTTAACCAGCCAGGTAGTCTGGTCTGCTTGACAACTACAGGTTGCAGCAAAAGGTAGAAAAACTTGGATTTTTTTGGTTTGCAAATACAATTGATTCAGTTTTCTAGTGGCACAGCAGCTGCTTTCTTCGACTTTGGTGTATGTTTTCAGGAAACAAGTTTGGGAGGATTTTCTTTTGAATGCTGACAAAAGCGTACGTGCTGATCAAGTGAATGCAGTACATGTTGGATGTTGCAGGGCTCAGTCTAAAATCAAGAGTTCAGTTCCATGCTTTGCGTGGCAGATTAATAGCAGTGCTGCATTTCCACCCAGTGAATGATGGGCTGGATTATTTTTCTGTAATTCAAACAAAATATGACGCCTTCATTTAATAATTTTTGGATTTTGGATGGAAGAGCCTCGTTCAGAGTTGCTGTCTGCAGCACACAGATCTGCACAAGCGGTGAAGAGCCGGTGCAGCAGGGCTTGGAAGTCAGGCTGTCAGCTTAATACATTGTGTGAAAATTGGGGCCGGAGGTCACCAATCTCCTGGTACACAAATCTCCCTCTGAGAATCTCATTTCATTCAGACTATCAGTTAGATTAGAAATACCCTAATTATCCCCCTGAAATTAAATTACTTTATGTAAGGGTGATATAATGAACAACCATAAAGAAGCTATACAACCAATCATCCTATTAGTCACAGCAAGACTAGACTATACACTAAATGGCTCTGGTTTGATTATTGCAGGCTGGTCTGTGCCACATAAACTGGGGGGTGGGGGGAAGGGAAGGACCTAGGGGAAGACTAGTTCTGATTTCCTCTTCTCTTTTACTGGAAGAAAGAAAGTCACATTTTAATTCACAGTGCAAGTCCTCTAGGTGAAAGAGGTGGAAATTTGATTGTCAGAGGAGGCAAGTGCAGCAGGGTTCATGAACTACGAAGAGGTGATTGGGATCTTTCTTAGGCCATACTGAATTATGTGGCCACAGGGAGCAGGAGGAGAGCTGTAGGAATGCAGACTCACTGCTCCAGCACCTCAGCTAGCAGACTTTGTCAGGGGGTCATTCTTTTCTAGATACACTTGCAGTTACTGCTGCTGGAGGAAGGGGAGGGTTTGGCTGATCTTGGACTCGGAAGAGGAGAATGCTTCACTGTCTTGAGAAGGTCAGCTGTTAGGAGTGAGCTGAAAAGACTGTATCTTTAATTTTGATTTAGTTGAAGACTGAAAAAAACATTCTGGTTTCTGTTCTCTGGGCAGACCCAGAGGGCTCACTGACCAGTCCATTGTGGGCACGTGCTTGTGTCAGAAAAGCCACTACTG